AATAAACTTCTGACTTGCCTTTATTTAAAATTAAATTCGGTTACAATATAAAAAAAGGTATTTACACAAAATAATCGTCACATACCCTTTAATCTTACCCCGATTTTTTTAAAGATATTTCCAAGCCCACCATTTTTCCATTCGATATTCAAATCCTGTTCATTAAATCGTAATGCTGTTTTCGTTAACGAAAGTCCATGACGATCCTATAATAAAGGTTATTGTATTTCTCGAATATGTCTGTGCATCAAAATAACATAAATAAAACCTACTGTAGAAATTGCCATTGACACTTTCTTATTTTTAGAAATTGCGTGTTTCTTTCTTTTTTCGAGGTTAATATCTTCTTTCTCATAATTTGCCAATTATGCTAGAATTTCATAAATACAATTTATTAAATTAATGAAAATCTATTTATTTGTAAATTATTATAATTATTTTACCTGAAAAACATTAACAGAATCTCTGTATTTATCTTCAAGAACTTTGTTATCGATTCTTAGAATAAATTAAAAGATCAACTAAGAGAAGAAGAAGAAAAGCATGTTCAGATAAAACAAGATAAATTAATTGCCATATTAAATTAAATTGTCTAAATAAGTTATTAAATCTAATGACATACCACAGCCTTAGTTGAAATTTCTGTATTAATCTTACATTCTAGCAAATTTTTTGATAAAGGGCGGACTGTTTCAAAGTTAACGTGTTTTCATCCCGGAGAAAATCTACTGCTCCTTTTTTCTGGCCTTACAATTCAATAAGGTTCGAATCATTATTGTTATTTAATATGATTACAACACGATTTACTAATAATATGTTACCTCTAAACTTTGTTTCTCCTTTTCAATTCGGCATAGTTATAATAAACATATTGAGTCAAGTCATCTTCTTTCGTCTGCTTTAGAACAGGAAAACTTCTTCATAAACATGTTGTTGTTTAGTATTTATAGAGTTTTTAATAAAGCTCTGGGAATATCATTAATCCATAATAACTTCAACAATTTGCTGAATAAAGATCTTGGTTGAGATTCCAAAAAGGAAAAGGAGGAAGACGAAACATCTCTCACCACCACAATTCAGAAGCTCATTCTCCACAGCGTCTCTGAACGCGACATATCAGCTCAGGAGACAGTTCTCGGAATCCCTTTATCCATTCAAGTCGTCAACTTATTTCACTAAACCTTAACAAAGAAGCACCAATTCAACATTGGATCATATCTCACTTTTAAAAAAATTGGTGTGGGAATTTAACTAGTCATACTACTCACTGATTGTATCGCCCAATACAAATTTATAATAGATATTTTTATTGACATATTGGCTAAAGTATGTTGTATTTTTTTCTTAAAGTATTGCCTCAACAAAGTTGGTTTTTTATTCTTTTTATTAAAGGATTCTATTTGCTTCTAATATTCAGTTCATTTCGTGAAAGATAATAAATTACCGTCACACAGCGCATGTGACTTCTTTACTGCGTAAATTTTTCCAAGCTGAAGGTTGAAAAAAAATAGTGCTGAAAATATCCTACTGATCGCCAATCTTAACTTTTTCAGTAGCCGAATAAAAATTTGATAATCCATTGTAATAGAAATGATGCAGGTCCACTTGTGAGTCAAGTGGAATAAGAGATCAGAAGATATGCAGAAATTTGCAACTAATTATTTCAAGACCTTCTAATCGTCTCATCTAAATTTCACTTGATAGATATAATAATGTTGTGGATAAGGGGATCTACATCAAAATGATTGAAAAATATCGTCTTAGTTATTTGCAATTTAATAAATCAATTGAATAAACTAGTACCAGCTATAATAATATCTTCATACCTTTCTGCGATTGAACCTCAAAAAATAAATTTTGAATGTTTTCATATAATCATCAGTCTCAGGTTCTTGCATTCCCACCGAAGAACATCGAGATATATTGGAACTATACGTGAATCTTCCACAATTTTACAAGTAATTCAATTCCAAGAGTCCGAGTTCCTGCTTGATATGCTGTTTCAATACATCTATATTTGCCAATACAATTTGATAGAATTTTGAATTTTTCCGTTTCTATATAAAGTTCTTGAGTATGTAGCAACTGAGGCTAAGTGTACGTTCTCATAATTCATCGCAGAACAATACCTTTTTTATATTTTTTTTCTGGATCGACTGCAGTAAGTGTTGAATCAGGTTAAGAATCAATATTTAACGTATTGATATCTTTCCAGAAATAATTACATTATGAACGTCAGAAATATCCAATATCATGAGCTTATCATCTGAACCTAATTATCCATTGAGCTGGTTTAACAAATATTTGTCAGAGTCGAAATAGTTCGGCAAGAGTAAAAACTGATTTGGGTTCTGATACACAAATTTCAACAACTTTGATCACCATACTTCTTTGCAAGTTTTGCATCATCCTTTTGAAAAAGCCATTTAGAAAATGATTCTTGAAGTTCAGAAACCATG